GGTTATGTTATTAATACGCATACCATAATTACCCCTTTCACTCCAGCCAAAAGTGTTACGTAACAGGGTCTACGTTGCCACTCCAAAGGTATTATTCAGTGAAATCAGAATATTGCAACTTTACGTATAATGATTTGAGGGAAGAGTTTAGTTTACGGTTAGGGCTATGATGCTTGCACGGTTTTGAGTTTTAGACACACTTATTTTTGCAGTTATGAGTGCATGTAATGCATCAGTAATGAACAAAGGATACGCTTTTTCTGCTTGTGCGTATATTAGCAATTGACAAGATTAGGGTTTAGTCATATGAAGTTTTTCACGCTAAGGTTGCGAAGGTTCTAAGACCATATTGCAAAATCTCATGTCGTCGAAGCTATGGTTAGATTATTTACTTCCCATATCCGCATTAACTCGGTACTTATCATTATTTCTATATTTCTACGTTTCTTTCTTTCTTTCTTTCTCTCTCTCTCTCTCTAGCCATCTTTGCCCAATAACTTTGATCAAAAAATGGTTCTTAATTGCGATACGTTCGGAATTTTGTTAGATTGCGCAATGATTATTGTTATTGTTTTTTGTTGTCGTTGTTGTTGTTGTCGTTGTTAAGAACTGGATGACGTGGCATAACAACGATCTTGTATGTGGCATCTTAGGCCGAGTTTTTTGAGACCCAGTTAGTTCTTGAACATATCTGTTCTTATGGTTAGCTATCTTAAATTTCCTCCAATCGAGCTTCGAGCAACTCGGCTCTAGTGTGGAGTGAAAGGGTTAATGAATCAACACAAGTTGGTCTGCTCTTGAATGCTCGAACGGCTCTATTTTGCATTAGTGTTAATTCCATAAACAAGCAATCGCCAGCTACTTAAACCCTTTCACTCCCAGAAGTGCTCTTTTTCATAATCCGATTAGATTTTTAGTGCAGTGTTGAAAACAACCAGAGAATCTGACAGCACTGCCGTATCATACTGCTCAGTAGCTTCCCATCAACTGTACCACAGTGATATTTTCTCTTCACTCGAAAGTTAAAGCCAGTAATTGAAGTATTCTTGTTGACTTTTAAGTTTTGAAAATTACGAGAAATTTACGAGGTACTTTGGGAGGAAAGGGTTAAACAACGCATGCGCGTGATCGCTAAGAGACTTGAGGTATGCTCGTAAAAATATTACCATACATATGAGGCCATAGCGCCCTCGTTACTAAAAGTAGTTTGTCAGCATAGTAACTGCTAGTGCAAACTCATTGACGAAATTTAAATGCCTGAGACATTTTGAGGCATGTTGAATGAGCACAATGCAGCCAAATTGACTTCTGGATCCAAATAAAATGTGCATTATTACACACTGTCTCGTAAGTACGCACCCCGCATTTCTCGATTACCATTTTCTTTGTTTTGTTTTCTTTAAACCACTTCATTGCTTTAAAACTCTCTGAATGAATAGATTTGAAGAAAAAAAGTACTAAAAGGAAAAATACCAGCTGGACCTTTCCCTAGACTAATGTCCCATTAAAGTCTCTAAACTACATTCTACCATTCGTTCTTTGATGCGTAGGCTATAATTTCTTTTGATAAAACTGCAATTTTTACTGATGACATTCAGAATAAGCGTTTTAAAATGTTATTGGCCTGCAGCATCCAACCGCCTAACTCATAAATTACAAGCGGTCATGTCATCTTTCATGCACGAACTCTCCTTACTCGCTGATTGTTATATCTTTGATAAGTACACCCTTTTAATGGAATCTGAAGAGTCGCTTTTTGTAGACAGTTGACACGCCTGCCTTTGAGCCTGACTTTGGGGTTGCTTATAACTCATATATTTTTACATCCGCCGCACCCCTAGCATAAAACCATAAGATGCTGGAACATTTCTCGAAAATATTACTCCAGAAAACCTATTTATACCATGAACAATGGTAATTTTTCCTTTAGATTTCTAATCCGCGATTAAGGCAAAAGGAAATAATCATTGTGAAATTGTTACTTGTTCACTTGAACTTCTAAACTAACAAAGCATATTAAGTTCTAATAAACTTTTAATAACTAGTAATGAAAATAGATTCCTTTTGAATTGAAAGGAAATATATAACTTAACGAGATACTTTCCAACTTAGCATTCACTCTCTCCACCAAAGGCGCATGTAAGAGATCATCATCATCGGTCGACCGAACTGAGTATCACGGTGCCCGTAACTAAAAAGAATCATATCCAAATGAAAGGGAAGTTAATACCGGTGGCGGACCGACACGTGACTTGGCATGAGTGTCTTATATGCGTGACTACTTGAGCACGATGTACTGGAGTTAGCTTTTTTGCAACTTTCCATTCCCAAAATGCGGTTTTCTTTCCCACAAATGTTTGCATAAGTATTGAGACTGTCAATCGTCCCTTATTGAGAAATTGACGCAATACCCATGCATTTTCTTTTGTGAAAAACCTACTGTATTATGGGAAATGTGAAAGTCGCAAATAGTGGGATTTTTTTTACAAGGACATCAGAACCACACTATAAATGCACAGAGAATTAAAAAATAAACTCTCTAAAAATCAAGTGAAACCCTATCTTTTGCTTTCAGGTGTAGATACCCTTAACACGCTGCTTACGGTGGCAGGCTCTAAATTCACTGTTGGTAGTTGGTTTGTTGCCTTAACGGCCTTACCGTATTAAAAAAAGATAATCATAAAATCCGTGTGGAGTTTTTTGAGCGTCTAAGGTTTTTAAATACTCAGTTTCACAACTGGTAGATCCACTTTCTAGATTGAAACCTCAAGGCTCGTCCTGTATTGTGACCTTACAAATCGAGTTGGAAGCTACTGAGCAGTTTTTGGATGGTGCCATAAGCCGCTTTTCTGTTTTGTTTTCATCAGAATTGACTGATCGTGTTTGAGTTGAAACCGTAACGAGGTTGGAAATTTTGTGCCACTTCATCGACTTTCACGCCAAAACTTGCCCGTGCTATGTGGGGGCGAACGGGCAAACTGTGTTATGAGTTTTGATTGTGATTTCCTGCAGCACAGATTTAAAACTTGGCTCTGGATTTTTTTATTCAGCTTTTTCGTGATGCAAAAAGGACACTTCCCGACCCAACTTGCTTTTTGCACCACTCAGTTGTTCACAGTTTGTGGCGTACTCCCCTCGTACTCTCTTTAGCTATGGACTCCAAATGTTCGGTTGGGCAATGCAAAAGGTCTTTACCATAACATTAGAGATATTTTAAGCCCATCTATAAAGCCTTGCTCTCACTTTGACTCCCAGCGAAGGTCCCACCAGAGATAGAAATCATGCCTGCACCCAACCTCACAGCTATAACAGGAGAGGCAGTTGTTTTGAGATGCGTGGTCAAAGCAGGTCATCCACCTCCAGCTGTAGTCTGGGAAAGAGACACAAAGCAACCGCTTAACAGCGGTAGCGACGGCATATTGGTGATCTCCCCTGTAAATTTTGACAATGAAGGAATGTATATCTGCAAGGCGTCGAATATCATTGGGTCAACTGAGGCCGTGGCCTTGCTTACTGTACAAGGTAATTAAGTAATGATCCGGGTAAGGTGGATAGCAATTTCTTTTGTTATGCGGCAACGGTGCTTTCCCCACACAGCAACGTTCTCATTTTTACACAGAGAATGCATAAACCTACATGAAGGTCGTTTACGCAATAAAATGCACTTACACTCCACTTTGAAAGGGTGTTTTTTCTGTGTTAAAAGATTTTGACCAATCACAAGAGTTGAAAACAATAGCCAAGAAAAGTTTACAATTTTACATGTTCTCCACATAGGATTTCTTTGTTATTCAAACAGATTTTGTTATATGGAAGATGCTTGAAAGTAAGGATGAATATATGTACCGCTTTATGAAGTTTTGTTAACTTTTGCTGATTAAGCCAATCAGAAGTAAGTACAGACAATCGAAAAGTTAGCACCTTTCTTGCATTCCAACATGTTCGTTGCCATTGTTGCTATTGTTCTTATCTGGACTGTTACTTAAAGAAGAAGGAGAATTCAAACACCAGAAAGCTCAGAACAATTTTCCGAGCTCCAGGTGAGAATCGAACTCACGACCCTCCGAGTTCTAGTTCGGACGCTCTAACCACCGAGTTTCTGGAACTCTAATGGCGAGCAGGGTCGGAATTTAATGTTACAGTGAGAAAAGCTCTTACTGAAAGCTACACTGTAAGATACCGGCCTCCCTGCCGGTTCTGTCATTTATGGAATTTGCTGCAACCTGTTTAGTAGCGACTATCTTTCAAGCGTTCTTCGCTTATAAAATGTCTTACTAAATCCTCCTTCCTGCTTAAATGTTCCTCAAAAGACATGTTAGTGTGTCGCCTAAAGGTATCGCTCAATAAGGTTATCAAGGGCCTGTTTACATAGAGGTGAGGGACCCTAGATAGGTGAGGTAGCCTGATGTAAACGTGATCAAATTAAAATGAGATTATATGGACAGGCGGGTTACCCCACCTAAGCGGGTTACCTCACCTAGCTGCGGTCTTCCACCTCCATGTAATCAGGCCCTAAAAGTAACTCTAGACTTCTTGGGAAAGGGGGTGGGGAGCAAAGGCAGCAAGAAATTTCCCCGTTATTCAAATACCCACAAGGATTACCCAGATTATAACCCGGTGGTGTTCAATTCCTGCGAGCATGTTTTCCTTACTTTCTATATATGTCTTGTTTTCCGACTTCCCCGCCATTTTGCATAACCTGTTTGTGGCGAAAGTAATGTTGTTGAGTTACCTAATGTTTGTCTAGCCGCAGAAAATCAGATCCTGCATTAACATTAAGGAAGATGTGTGCAATCATTTAGCCCTTATAAACCTTTTGAATTTGTTTTAATCTACTTTTATTTCATCACACAGCTGAACCCAAGATAATGCTGAGCCCGCCCAACTCCATTTCCGTGACAACTGGGGGGTCGGTCACTCTAGAATGCGCAGTCGTGGGGAATCCCCCTCCGGAGGTTCAATGGAAAACTCAGGGAAATTCCTAATCCAATTTTCAACTGATGGTGAACGGTCCCGGAATGTTGAAACTTGTTATTAGAAATGTGACTGCGGAACATCAGGGAAATTACACTTGTCATGCTCAAAACATTGTAGGGAAAACTCTGGAAACGATTCAGTTGGTAGGTGAGTATGTCGGGTGTCAGTATGAGTATGTTTCCAATTCTTCCACTCTGTTGACAAATTAAGTAAAAATAACTTGGTGCCACACAACGTCATTTAATTTGTTACTGTTGTTGTTTTTTGCGGGTATGTGTGCGGTCGTTTTATAATCATTATTTTTGACGTCTGTATTCTAATACGGCTAAACGGGTGTGTTATACGTCTTTATAATGCAGTGCGCTTCGATTTTCATTCTCTCTTTTCCTCAGGAAGTAAAGTGGTGTTATTCCGGTAACATTTGCTTTTGGTCCTTTGCTTTAAATTTTGTCAATGCACGGTAAACTTCCGACTATCCCACCCGTGGTTTAAAATTAAACTGGTTTGCTTTCCTTTTCGAAGTGTGTGGGAATGACATTGAAAAATTTTAAACAGAAAACAAGGATAGGTTGAACCACATGTATCAGTGCAACTGATATTTGCGTTGTATTTGTATCCAAAGTTGTTTCGGCAGATCTCATGACGCTTGTGTAGACTATTTCATGCAAAGCAATTCCTAGAGATCAAGTAATGCGTGATGCAGTGATTCAAAAACCCTCCTTGCAGTTTTCCATGAGCAATGGTTGACCTTTGCTTTTTCTTTGCTCTTTAGTAAAGGTTCCACCAGAAATAGAAATTACACCAACCACGAACCTCACAATTGCCACAGGAGAATCAGTTATTTTAAGATGCGCGGTGAGAGCTGGTAATCCATCACCGTCATTGGTATGGGAACGAGAAGGTAATAAACCACTGAACAGCAGTAAAGACGGCATCTTAGTGATCTCTTCTGCCACTGGCGACAGTCAGGGAACATACATTTGTAGAGCGACGAATAATCTAGGGACATCTGAAGCCATTGCCTTTCTTACTGTTCAAGGTATCATACAGATTGTGTTATTTATACCCATTCTCCACTTTAGAAGTGGCGAATGAAAGAGTTACGGCTGAAGTGATGAAAAGTGCTACATCCGTTCTCGCTAATGAATTTTAATAAGGTACCATCAATTCAAGCTATGGCAGAAATAAATTTATACACTCTTGTAGAAATATAAGCCTTCAGCCGTTGCATTTGGTTTGTAAATCATCACGCGCGTAACAGAGCTTGAATTTTTGGCCATAAAGAATGGTGAAAAAGAAATAAAATTCATAGAAACCAAAGAGAAGGTAAGACGCCAAATATAAAATTGGGATATGTCCGTTTGTGCCACGTGGGCAAGAGGAAAGAGGGGCAACGTTTGGCGATATTCATGATAATCTATTGTAGCGGTGTTACACCACATTCCCTCGTATTTTTCCTGCTAGTTTCAGCGTGATGTGTGGAAAAAACGTTTGATTCCTCAACTGGTTTATGATTTCACACTGTATCTATCCCCTTGTGCTTTCCTTTCACAGCTGAACCCAAGATAATGGTCAGCCCTTCTAATTCGATCTCCGTGACAGCTGGTTCTTCGGTCACACTAGAATGCGCAGCCGTGGGGGATCCCCCTCCAGTGGTTCAGTGGATACCCCAGGGACATTCCAATCTACAACTGATGGAAAGCGGCCCTGGGGTGCTGAAACTAATTGTAAAAAACATCACTTCATCGAACCAGGGTAATTACACTTGTCAGGCCCAGAACATCGTAGGAATAACCAAGGAAACAATTCATGTAACAGGTACGTAAGTTGATTTTGCCCAGGTCATCAAAAGAGCTCTTGAAAATGCTTTTTAGAACTTTCGGCTTCTGATCACTAGCCGGTTCACAGTGCATGAAAAGGCTGTGACCGCCGGTAACCAAATTAAGTTAAGAATCGCCTTCTCATGGCTAAGGCGTGTCCGGGACTGAAAGACGATTGTTTTCGGTTTTAATATTTCTTCACTCAGAGCCTTAAATTGCCACTGCTTACGAGACACATCATGATAAATCAGCTTCCTTTTAGGAAATAAAACGACTTCGCTAAATCCTCAAAAGCCTTAGCAAACGCAAGAAATTTACGTCGGTTTACGTCGTTTCCACTTAACTTAGTTGTCCTTTTTGTTGTTGTGATTTGCCAGGACGAAGAAACAATAACTTCACACGCCATGGTAATTATTTTGGTTCCACTTTTACCCAAATGTCAACTGCTTGTCACCTTGAGTTTGGAGATTCCGAAGAAAGAAAATGGCGTTGTGTTTTTCGCTTTACATGCCATTGCATTTTATTCTCAGTATCTTCTGATACCAAAACACGAAGTCCTTTGATGAGTGAATTCTCATCAGTTTGTTGTATCATCGAATGCATCATGGAATTTTCTCCGTGTGGCATTTCCCATCACTCTCAAAACCAAAGATACTCTAACCTCAAACCCTGTCTAAAATCTGCAATTGCCACTAGTTAAGTAATTAAAAGTGTTACGAGTAATAATAGTAACAGTAATAATTATATAACAACAAAATCTTGAATCTTCAGTATAAGGATATGCCAAGAATAGAAATCAGGCCAGCACCAAACCTGACAGTGAGCGGCGGAGATACTGTGAATCTAACGTGTGCGGTAATTGCGGGTAATCCAACCCCGACTGTGGTCTGGGAACGAGAAGGAAATAAACCCCTGAACAGCAGTAGTGATGGCGTGTTAGTGATAGCTGCTGCCAGTGGTGTCAGTCAAGGAAAGTACATCTGTAGAGCGACGAATATTCTGGGGTCCACTGAGGCAGTCGCCTTTCTTATTGTTCAAGGTACAATTATCTGGCAACGCGTTATAAAATGTTCCTCACGAAATAGGAAATTTTTAAGATGTAACGTCAATGCTTTCTGAAAGCACATCATTTTGTCATTAGAGTTTAGACCTCTCAAATGAAAAATTAATAAAGTTATGCATTTGTTTATTTATTCATTTATAGACCATACAATACCCTATTTGTCTGTAAGATAGAGCGTTTACCGTAACTAGCGACCAGCTCGGCAAGATTCACTAAAGGGTCTCGCGCCTTCTTCCGTAACGTTTACCCCCAATGACCGCCCGTCATGGTAAGCCGGTTCTTCCAGGACGATCTTACTGTAAAACGGGGGACTGCAAACAACCTTATCAATTCTATTAATCATTTAATCTAATTAAAGGCGCCCTTGGTAGCAACTTTCAGTCTCAGTTATTATGAATTGTTGTGGCTAAGCGTTCAAAGGCTAGTGTCTCTCGTACAGAAGTAAAAACACAATGTAGAAAAGCAGTGCATAACGCTACTTCTGGCTTATGCTTTCATGGGCCATAGCCCAAGTTTCTGCGCCAATACAATAAAGCACATTTCTTTAATACACAGGTGAGCCAAAGATAATAGTGAGCCCTTCCAGTCCCGTATCAGTTAAAGCTGGCAGCTTTGTCTCTCTAGAATGTGTAGCAGAGGGAAAACCCACCCCAGATGTTCAATGGGAAACTCAGCTTAAATCTCACTCCAGCCTTCAGCTGGGGGAACCTGGCCGTGGTTTCTCAAAACTGGTAATTGAGACCGTGGGTCCAGAAGATGAGGGCAATTACACCTGTCAGGCTCAAAACATCGTAGCGAAGACCCAGGAAACTGTTCAGTTGATAGGTAAGTTCGTAGTGAGACCAGTTGTAATACAGGTTATTGTTGAAGTTTGTAAGTTTCTTTGCCAACTTAGAGCTGGATATAACAAAAGGGCATCGGACAATAGATGGAATTGCCCACTAGAGGACAAGAAAATTAATGTGGCTTGGTAATTAATACAGGCGCTATGATATCTTCATGCTGATATTTTTGTGGAAAAGTTGTGTGGAAAACTTTGTCATAGCTCAATGTGCCTGTTTTAATGACGAAGTTACCTTAACTCAGCATGTCATTTGCCTGAGAACGTTTCTGGTTTTTCTGACTAGAATGATGTTCTGGTGGGTAATACCGGTATGTCCTTTTTCCACCGTTCTGAATGAAATACCTAAAAAAGACCTAATATTTGCACCTGTGCTATTCTTAATTATCAGCCCAGCAGCTTGACCGCCTCTACCCCCCACTGAATCTTTACAGGCTCATTTTTAGCCCCGCTCGGATGAGAAGCCATGAAGTGTACGAGGGTACGATAAGCCATGATATCATGCATATGGTTACCAGCCTCAGGGCTGAAAAATCACCCACCTTAAACTAATCTTAGCTGTCCTAACAGTTAACTCTGAAATCACTCTTTTTACTTTCATCTGTTAGTAAAGGTGATGCCAAAAATAGAAATCATGCCAGCGAGAAAGCTGACAGTCACAGGTGGAGAGAGTGTAACATTCAGATGCGTAGTGAAGGCGGGCAACCCGCCTCCATCGGTGGTCTGGGAAAGGGAGCAAAATAAACCGCTGAACAGCAGTGACAACGGCGTCTTAGTGATCTCTCGCGCGTCCGGTGACAGTGGAGGCAGATATATTTGTAAGGCGACAAATATCCTAAGGTCAACTGAAGCAGCGGCTTTGCTTATTGTTCAAGGTAAATTTTAATCTAACTCAAGCCAAGGGCAACTACTCTACAAATACCTATCTTGTTTCTGACAACCCTTTTCAAGAACCACCACCCAAAACATCCAAAACTCTTCTTGTGTGTTCGTTTCTTTAAGTCACTTTTTCTTGTCCGTCTTTTATTACTATGAATTCCTGAAGACAAACTTCACGAGGAAAGTAATGGTCAGTTGTCGTTTTTAGCCAGATCCTTATCTTTACTTCACTTACAACAGCACGAGTAAGCAATGACTACATAACAATACTTATAATTAAGAGTTTTAAGGGGACAAACAACGAATATCTTGACCAGTGCTGAAATGGCGAGACTTTTCAACAAGAAAGTATCTCGTTTCTTCCTTTTTGAAACCTGTATTCATGTGCCAGTGATAAAGCTTATTTTATGGCATCTTGAAGGTAGTGACTGCACAATTACGGTATGGTTTGGTTAATTGTTACACAGGTGAACCCCAGTTGATAGTAAACCCTTCCAGTCCAGTCTCCGTGACAGGTGGAAGCTCGGTCACGCTGGAATGTACAGCTGCAGGGAGCCCTCCTCCAGTAGTCCAATGGATTATTGAAGGGCATCCTCGGTCTAATCTGCAAATAAGGGAAACCAATCGTGGGGTGTTGAAGTTGATTATTGAAAATGTCAGACCGGAAGACCAGGGGAACTTTACCTGCCAGGCAGAGAATATTGTAGGATTGACTCAGGAAAGTGTGCAGTTAACAGGTATATTCCTTATGCAGTGTAATGGCAGCAAGGTACTGAGAAATTAAGGACTAGCTAAATGTCCTTCTCAGACAACCGAAATGTAAACGATCGTAAACAAATCATTTCCTCTTTTGCTTTCCACCATATCATGAACCTGGAACTGGTTATCTTAGAATAACAAGGTTTCATTTGTTTTTCTTAGGTTTTCTTGCGAAATTGCAACCACTGTTTCCTCATATTTGTTAATCTAATCATCCAATGTTGACATTAAAGATTCCTTATTGTCGAGGAGTGTCTGTGTCTAGCCTGACAAAACAGCTGACATTTCGAGACGCCATCAACGGAGAATACGTCTAAGGAACGAGCGCAGAAGTTTCATACTAATGATGTGTCACTACCCAGATCTGGAGAGTGCCAACCAAAATCACTACCCAGGTCAGAGTAGTAAAACGTCATTAGTATAAAATTTCTTCACTCGTTCATCAGACGTCATTTCCAGGAAAACCATTGGTGGCGTGGCGAGATGTCGGCAGTTTTTTCATGCTAGGCTGTGTCAGGATGTCTGTCATTTTACATTAATTTAGTGGAACTTTTGATATTGTCCTTGCTTTAATTAAAGGAAGCTTTAATTTTAGGCCAAACTTGTTCTCAAAGAGGATTGTATGACATGATATTTTAAGCATGTGGCGTATGTGTGGAAACTTTTTTAACACTTATTCAGCTTAGAACAAAACTAATGAGTGATACAAAAGTTGAAGTAAATTTATGTTTTGTTTTTCTCCATTGACGAAATATGACCTGAGGTTATTGTGATTCCTTCTAGTAACTGTTCCACTAGAACCACCAGAGATCCTCTTAAATTCTGTTTTACGAACTGTCATCGAAGGAGAAGACGTGGAGTTTCGGTGCAATGCATCCGGCTTACCAGCTCCGACCATTGTCTGGGAAAGACTGGGTTCTAATTTACCCAATGACGCCCTTGATAGAGATGGAATACTGATGATCCCGTCTGTCGGTGCAGAAGATGCTGGGACGTACTCCTGTAAAGCAGTTAATAGTGAAGGGCAGGACAGTTTTAGTGTCAAGTTGGAAGTGATAGGTACGATTAAGGAAAAAAATTGAACCCAAGAAAAGAGAGGATAAAGTTTCACGAATCCAGGCTAATCAAAATTTATTACTGAGAAAAATCACATTTAGAATCCAAGTTAGAGACATTCAAAGGTTTCAAAGGTTTTATTTCTTGTAGCTCAACAGTAAGATACCTCTCCCACAAATTTCAACGTAAAACAAATTTTAACGTCAATTACCATTGATCGTGTATCATTTCGTAGAGGCATATAATTGAGTTACACATTTTATCCTGGCGAAGTTCAACGATGCCGCCAACTGGAGGTGTAAAGGCCATTTCTTTATGTACCACTTTGACCAACAAGGCATCCTGTTTCTGAGCCTTCCATAAAAATGGTTCCTTCTTCATATGCTTTAATGTGAAGAAGCGCTTTGATTAATAACTAAGGGACTTTCCCTCACTTTTACTTGGTAACCGTTCAAGCTATACGATATTTCAAAAAAGCCCTTTTTAAATAAGAAATGGCACATGTCTTACCCCTTTCTGTACTACAAACTGTCAAATATAGTCAAATTTCCCTTACGCAGACACCATCAGCAAGCAAAAACGTAATTTCATTGGGAGCTGGCCGGTAACAAATCATGCTTTTCTAGTGAAGTTCCTAATGGGAAGATTTGTTAAGATGGCCGTAAGTGAAGCTCTCCACTTGAGGCATATTGTACGTCCATGAAAAGATAAGAGCTTAGACTGTTACTACCTCGTTATACACCTCTCCCATTATATCCTTTCAACGTAATTATTACTATCAACGATTCCAAGTAATGCTGTTTTTTGAACTCGTGATTCTTTAACATTTACCAAACGTTTGGAAAAAAAATGAAAAAATGGAACACCACCTTTAGGAACTTTTAGGAGAAACGACAAATTTAAAAAGGTAGCCGTGTGGTTGAATATTCCAGACTGAAATTTGTTTGCTTTCTTCCCCAAACTTGATTAATCTTTGAGACAAGTTTCAAGCTTTCTAGGCCTGTTTTGGGAATGGAACGAATTTGTGAAATAGATTCCTGCTGTGAACATTAACTTTAAGGCAACAACTTAAGAATCAAGGAGACAAAATATAGTGATTTGTATCAAGTTGTCATTCCAAACCTCGAATTCCTTTTATTGTGTCTTCTCACCGGGACAGAATTCTGGATTTTTTTTACCATAAAACTCGCAAATAGTGAACCGACCTATGTCTACATTTAAGTGATAAACAACCCGACCCGTGCCTTTTTTCTTTCTTTTTTTAACCAGTGCCTCCTCTAATCGACGTGACTCCCTCCAAGATCTCCGTCAATCAAGGAACGTCCTTTAGCATCTTTTGCATTGTTAAGCCATCACTTGCAATCACGTGGTCAAAACTCAATGGTAGTTTCCCAAACGGCATCGTGAGCGACAAGGGGACCTTAACAGTCAGTGAGGTGAAACTGAAACATGCAGGAACATACCGCTGTTATGCTAACAATTCAGCGGGCTCCAGTGAAGGCTTTGCAAGCGTCGTCGTGTATGGTAATTTAAAAAAAATATCGCAGTATATAAAAAAGTGTATACCTCAAGAGTTAAGGTAATAAAAGTTTTAATTGTAAAAACAAAACCAAAAAAAGGCCTTTCATCCCTTCTTCTTCTCTCTCAATGACTCCCATTTATCGAATTTTTTCCCTTTTATTTAGAAAGAAACAGTCTATGTTGTACTACAAATTCTATATTGTACTACAAATGATGTTTTTTGTGATGGCAGTGAAAGTGTCTTTGAAATATACGTTCGAGTCTTGTTGCTCTTTGCAAATCGATTATCTTGATTATTTATCAACTTATATTTGGGAAATCAGTGCTAACCAACACACTAGTCAATTTTCAATTTCATCCCATGTTCAATTTGTCCTGGCTTTTTGACTGACTTTCGTTCTGATATCTCAGCTGCACCAAAAGTGGTGGCCTGGCCTAGATCTTTTGAAGCCGCTCATAAATCCAATGTTACATTTCACTGCAACGCGACTGGCATACCCGACCCGGTGATCTCCTGGTCAAAAGAGGGAAGCGACATTCCCTTACGACACTCAGCTGGTGTCTTGAGTCTTACAGGAGTTATCAGTGACGATAATGGTCGATACATCTGCACAGCAAAAAATGCTGCTGGAACTTCTACAACATCTATAGAACTCACTGTCGAAGGTTTGTTAGAGCTTCGCTTTGAAGAAAAAGAAGTCACTTTCTGTTCATCTCGATCCCCTTTTTATGCTTATTTCCCCTTATCATGCCTAAGTTCATTGGTCCGGTTCACGACCCCATATTCTAAAAGTACAGTGTTTAATTATATCATAACCAAAAATTAATGTCCACAAATCTTTTTCAAATGTCGAGCCAATTCATTGCACTGTAATTATATTATGCTATACCCTTGAGTTTATCCAATTGTTATTGTTATCATTATTATTATTATTGTTGTTGTTGCTGCTGTAATTATTACTATTGTTATCTTTATCGTTTTTGTCATCGTATCAGTATCATAATCATTATCATTATCACTATCATTAAATCATTCGTATGAGTAGCCATGTAATCATATCCTTTTCAGATCTACCCAGTGTGGTTATAACAGGTGGAACCTCCGTCAAAACAGTTTCAGTAGGAAAGAATTCGACTTTAGAATGCATCGCGAATGGAACCCCACAATCAGAAATACAATGGACCCGCGTCGATGGTCTGCTTCCCGAGGGACTCATTTCAAAAGGAGGACAGCTGATTTTTCCCCGCGCGCGGCTTGCCTATGGTGGTGTATATAGGTGCAAAGTCACTAACAGAGTAGGCTCTGTGCAATCTGAAGTAGCCATCTTTGTGCAAGGTTGGTGTTTGCTGTTTGTTCTTTTCTGCTGTTACCTTTCACGTTTACTGGTCTGCAAAAGAAATTAAAGCTAAAAAACGCTTGAAATATTTGACCGTCAATTGCAAAGACATTCACCTTTGTGGGGAATAGGAATGGTTCACTGGTTTGTCAACCGAGTTGATAAGCCAAGATAATAAGACAAGATAAAATAGCGAAAGCTGGCGATTGCGTGTCCTCGTGTCAGACCAAGTGAGGAAGGCGTGAAAACATAAGCCTGCTTTAAATCTTACTGCGGTAAACCAAAATGACCTTATCCGATTAGATTTTTTGGTACTACCACCCAACCACCCCAACCCTACGGTTACAACTAATATCCATCTGCGAAGATCATGCAGTTTTATTGACGATGTTACTATTAAACATTGTGTTATTAACTCGAATGGCAAGGCTGTACTCTATTGACTCTTAGAGGCCCCCAAGGTCATGGTTACTCCACAGAGTTCACGTGTGAAAACTGGTGAGACCGTGCAATTCACTTGCATCGCTAGCGGCTCCCCGTCACCAGACCTAACATGGCGGAAAGTTAACGGATCGCTTCCAGTCAGCAGTACAGTGCAAAGAGGAGTTCTGAAGATTGCCAATGTGACTCAAAAGGATGCTGGGAGTTACAATTGTGAAGCCAAAAATGTTGAAGGATCGGCTAATAGAAGTGGAATTTTAGAAATTAAAGGTAAGGTATCAAAGGGTCGGCTCTTTGGAAGTAATTTTACTTTAACCTCCCTCCTTGTTTCATGTCTTGATTTTGACGAATTTTGGAGCAAAAATTTTACAGTGCCTTTCCTTCCATACATTTTTCCTGATGCAATTCCAGCGCGAAAAGCTACGAATGTTCTTGCGGTCATGATGAGGGTTAGTTTGGGGAGTTTCTGCTAAGCACACTTCGCGTCAATGACAAGAAGGAACCTTTGTTATGATATTTACTCTAACCATAACTTAAAAATGGTCACCAACCATTTGTATCTCTACCTTTTCTATATCTCTTCTTAGTGACCGTTCCACGATTTACGCAGGAACCTCTGTCCTACCTCAGTGTACAGACATTAACAGACGAGCCACTTAATTTCACGGTTGAAATTGTGTTCATACCGGAGATGGCGGATGGGCTGATTCTGTACAACGATCAGCTAACAAATGGCTCTGTTGGAGACTTCATTTCATTTGGAATGTCAGACAGATTTGCTGAATTTAGGTAATGGGGTTGTATTCACAAACAGGGACGAAGAGCATCCTTCTTGATCCCCGCCAGTAGTCCTGTGAGGCCTAGCTCTAGCAGGAGTCTACCCTCGCAAGCTATTTTTTCCATAAAGCCTTTGGTTACTCACAAAGCATTTTTCGAGGTCATTTGAAAACTAATGCAAAAATAGGATCTGAACTTATTTTGTTTCTGTGAAACCCTGAAACAGCAAGGTAACCAAACTATCGTATTACTAACCAAGTTTATCATATTCCATCTTGGCTGCAGTCATATTGCATACATCTAGCCAAGCCTTAAAGTGGAGCTTCCATTTAATACAACACTTTAAGTTCCGGTTTGGGGGGGGGGGGTGCATCATGCACTCTGACTGTTCCAGTGACTTATTCCAAGAACTGTATCACGTCATATGTATCAACATACTTAACACGAACACACCATTATAAGATGAGGTAGTTTACTTGTAGATTGTGTGTTGGTTGGACTTATAATCCTATGGTCAATTTTTACAAGTGTAATATAAACGTGTAGCTATTTTCCGTGAGCACAGATTGAAGAAAAAAGACTCCGCTTCAGAGCAAGCTTCCCACATATACTCTGGGCTCCGTTGTCCCAGTCTAACAAAGTATACTTGAATATCTCCTCCCTGGTGAGGCTGAGGCGGCACATTAGAGAGTATATTACGATGTTTTTGTTTTCGAAATGGGCTATATCCACGTTGTAGTGGCTGTGCATCTCGTCTTGATCTTAACCTAACTGTGATACACATGTTATAATCCAGTTTTATCCTTGGTTGATATTTTTTTTTCTTTTTGGGGGGGTATGGTAAGGTAAGAAAAGAGTCTGGAAAAAATTGAAAGAGAACTTATCCGTATTTAGATTCAACCTTGGCTTTGAGCCTGCAATCATTCGAAGCCGGCAACCATTGAGCCTGTATGAGTGGCACAGAGTCGTCTTATCACGTAACAGGAAGGAAGGAAATCTCACCGTAGATGGGGAGCCACCTGTAACAGGAATTTCTAAGGGGAGTAGCACAGGTCTCAATTTGAATCAGGATTTGCACGTGGGAGGAGTCCTTGACTTCTCATCAATAAGCTCTTTGGCGGGATTCAAGTCAGGATTTATTGGCTGTTTAAGCTACTTGGCTATCGACGGAAAAGTTGTAAATTTTGGTAAGAATGTAATCGTTTCTTTTACATTCCATTATAAAAGTGGTTGGTTTCAAAAATAGGGACCTTAAAAACAGGAAAACAGGTACATGTATTGTCTCCTTTGATTATTTTGAGAACTTTTCGTAGGGACAAAACGAATGGTAGTTGGATAAAGGTTTTCAAAGTTCAAAATTTCTGGAAACTAGTTTTCGAGGAGATTTGACAGAGGCACCCAACAGGGAATTTGAGAAAAAGACGTAAAAACAACAACAAAGCATAAATAAAGATTTCTGAAGCCATTTTAAGCATTTTGGGAGATCGCTTGGAAAAATTTACCTGTTCCTCACTCCCAGTAAGACTGATGGAAGAGTTCCCAGCCAGCAAAGTGCACCTAAAACCTGCAACCTGACGTATGTCCAGACATTACTAGATATTACTGCCCAGTTTGGGTGTGGTCATAGGGCAAAATTCAGCCCTTCAATGGGGCGGGGGGTCCATAGGCAATTGGGTGTGGCCTATGGGAGACATTCACCCCTTCAATGAGGGAAGGAGAGATAAACAAATGGAATATACAAGCTATTGTATACACCAAATCCCCTCTGACACCCTGAATTGTGCATTGCCCAGCAACACTTTCCTTCCAAGCACATATTAATTTTTCCAAATTTCCGAGCCAGCAAAACTTGGCCTGAGGAACAGATATTTTAGGGAACAGATCCATTGGGTGTCCCTGATTTGAATTTTGTACAGGAGTGTCCGAGGGGGAGAGTAAGGGTGCTTTCTTGACAAGGGGAAAACAATTCATCCAAATTCTTCAATTCGGTTTTACCAGCTGAGTTGATGAACACATCTTGAAAGTCTGCTTTTGATTTCTGTTCTGGAGGTAAATTGTCTTTAGCAACTGATTGGACCAAAACCACTATTTCTTTGTGTTACCGACGCAACAGTAAAGTTCTGGAAACTAACCCTTTTATTTGAACTCTTTGAACTGTCTATACGCTAATTTTTTTATGCATAACCATTACAAACGCGTTCCAAAAGTGGAAATGATTCACCATGGTCTAATTGACATTAGTAGATTGAGTCATGTCTATAGAACATGAGCATGTTTCTTTCTGTTTCTTCGACTTCTAAAGGAGCCAGCTGTTATTGAAAGTGTATGCGCTTGTCAAGGGCAGTATTGACGAACTTGAATGAGGATAGGGCCTGTTTCACCAGGAAGCTATTTTTGTAGCCTTTCGGTGTAGCTTAATTACCTAATTTTATAATTACATTTTATCTTCTTCCTTCTCTTGCCAAAACACAATACTTAAATGGATTTTGTCACAAGGATATTATTGTTTTACGTCAACTCTGTGCTGATGTCATTACTTAGGGTCTTTACCCATACACAAAATGCTTCTGTAAAATAATGAAGAAGATTTCAAAGAAATTCTATCAGGGAACACTAACCATGATTATTTGTTACATGATTTGTGAAAAAAAAATGAAAAACTATTTTTGGAATTCAATTGATACGAAGACACTTTATAGCTTTTTAAAAAATAGAAAATAGCGTGACATAACCCTTTGAATACCTCTTTAAACAAATTTCAGGTGATCCTATTAAAAGCGTGGGTTTGGATGATTGTGAAGTCTGTCAAACAAGGCCTTGCAAGAACGGCGGCACGTGCACAGAGGTCGCTGGAGACTGGGGATTTATTTGTACTTGCAGGCCTGGTTACTCGGGAAGGACCTGTGATGACGCTGGTAACAAGTGTTCACCTGGCGTTTGCAATGAGGGGCGTTGTGAAAATATCGGCAATGATGGTTTTAGATGCATCTGTCCTGCTGGTTACTCTGGGGAGAGGTGTGAGGAAGGTTTGTTGTGGACCAAAGGCCCCTGAGTCCTTTACGATCTGATGTCAAAACATGAGCTTTGGTATAATTCCAATTTTTTTCCTGTTTGAATAGGATGCATTAAATACTTTTTAACTGGTTTGCATCAGTTGGTATGGGCGAAAGACCGTAATTTATAGTTTGATTCACTGGACAAAAAAAATGGATTTTCACCCCCCCCCCCCCTGTTTTTTGGCATGCAAATGACATTTACCATCCTGGCCCCATATTTACTCCTCCAGTTTTCACAAATTTGCTATGTATTTGCAAGGATCATGTTGGTGCAAATTTATTTTTTTGCCCAGTGATTTATATGTTAAAAGTGCCGGATCGAGGGAGGAGGGAGCTCGGGATGATAGCTTGCCAGGGCCTCATTTTAAGGTCATTTTCGATGGTGCCCCCTCCCTCTTTGAAGGGTTTGAATAAGCAGCGCCCCCAATTACTTGAAGGTCTGGTTATATAGTCGCTGCTACTTGAAATACCAGACCGAAGAATGTCGCTATAAAACGCCTCTGTCACTTGAACAGCCCCAGGGTGAGGTGTATGGTAGAAATCAAGTGAAGGGTACTTCGTTAAAGAAACGTCTATTGGACTTCTGGGTTTTTTATGTCATTTGGTGTACTAAAAAGGAAACTTATTACGGTATTCATCCTGTAGGAAGGCCAATAGACACTCCTATGTTCGAGGGCGACTCATACATGTCATTACCAGGAATCGAAGGCGCAGTTCTGCAGCTAAGGTTCTCCATCAGATTCCTCGCACTTAAATCAGGCAATATGCTTCTACTGTACAATGGTCAGACGATATTCCCTGGTCGCGGTGACTTCATTTCCCTTGCCATTCACGGAGGGCGAGTTGAGTTCAGGTTCAATATGGGAAGTGGTACTGGTATTTTACGCAGCGCCAGAAACACTTCTGTAGGATTCTGGCACACTGTAATAATAGAAAGACAACTGAGAGACAGCTTGCTGGTTCTGGATGACGATCCCCCAGTGAAAGGTTCCTCCCCGTGTTGTTCACGTGGATTAAATCTTTTGTTAGACTTGTTCATAGGCGGAGTGAAAAACTTCACGACATTCCACACTAGTAAAGTTGGCGTTAGCTCCGGTCTCTTTGGTTGTATATCCGAACTATCAGTAGATGGTAGGGAAATAAACCTGCTCAAGTCCAATCTTGACATGCGCGATATCAAACAATGCACAGAATGCCTTTTGCCTTGTGAATTAAGACCATGTTTGAATAATGCCACTTGCATCCCGGTTGGAAAAACGGGCTTTTTCTGTTCCTGTGCTCCTGGATATACTGGACAAAAGTGTGAGTTTACACTGGCCGATCCTTTGAAGAGTAACATATGTGTAAATGGCGGAGTTGAATTATCGTCATCTGACAGGTTACTTTTATTTATTAATTTTTTATTTTCCCAAACATAAGAAAAATGCACTCCACTACAGTCAACCCGCAGCTTGTTTTAATGAGGTGTAGCTATTAATTCCCTCCGGTGTCTCTGCTATTGATAAGTTCGGCTAGTCTGTCCAATATTTTCTGCGTTACGGTTGGTACTATAGTCAATCTAAATATAAATAGTGATATATTGTAAAGAAATTTCTTCTCGGACCTCAAATGACGATCTCTCGCGATTAAGGACAGTAATTCGTTGGAGAGTGTCCGAAATAAAGGGAGTTGACTATATTTACTATAATAGACGGAAAGTCTTTGAATACTTAGAATACAAACAATACTTAATTTTACGACGTGATAAAAGCAGTTCGCAAACCTAGAGAGCTTCAGAAATTCTGAGCCTAAAAGTTGATTTACTGTGTTACAGGTTATGCAACTGCCCGCTCGGATATGGAGGCAGAAGGTGTAATAGAAGTAAGTACTTTCGGAAGTTTTGCCTTTTGAAATAGCTTCCTAATGCGACGGATATATTTTCAAATCTGTCATTAACTGATGTTGTCGCAGTATAAACTTTTCAATGTAAGGGATCTTAAGGCACATAGTCTTTGTGTGCGGATACAGCTGACCTCCCCATGCTGGAGCCGTCAGCATGGGTAAAGTGCTTCTTACCATAACCCGGAGGCCACACTTAGGAAGTCTTGGTGGCCTTTTAAAACCGGAAGGGGAACTACCGGTGGTGCAAATGGTAAGAGTAAACGCCTTCCACTGATATAGGCTGGGTTCGATTCTAGCGTCACAAAGTGGATTGACTTTGTTGTTGGTTTTCTTCACAAGTCTACTTCGAGCTGAAAAGTTTTCTCTAATTTGTTGGGGACGTTTAAGAGGCCACACGTTTAGAACAGTGAAATCTATCGGGTGTCACGCTGTCTAAACTACATAAGTGTAAGTTTTCATAGTTGCAGTAGAATTCTTTCATGACAACCCCTGCAAAAAAACACACACTCTGGCAATAGATTTTAAGTACTAAAGAAAACTAAGTTTACAAACTTCTGCTGTTGGGTTTATTTTAACCTTTTCGGTGCAAAGTTGTTTAAAATAGCTTGCATGAGGCAACGTATAGTTGAGTCGTTTCCAGTGACTCTTGCTGATTGGCCGTTTCGTTGTAGCTGTCCAGCTTGGAAAAATGCCTTGTTCAGTGGTGACGGTTTCTTGGAATTCCCATCATCGACCATGCGAGGACCGAGGTGAGGTTTTTTTCTTTGGTGTTCAGTGAACCTTCTGAGGGAAAATTTCTCACCATCAGGAGAGTTTTACGACTGTCATAATAGAAAATGAGGCTCAAGTTATTTCCATCCTGGTATTTTATAGCCGAAATACCTTATAATCCACAGTGCAATGTTTACGGCTTTGAGCATGCATGCGTCCATTTTTTTTTTACAGATCGACAACACCTGACTATATGTCACTTGAGATAAAAACAGAAGCTCAAAATGGTGTAATCCTATGGCAAGGAGAGGTAAATTAGAGTGTTGTAATGAGTTCGGCCAACAGAGATTGTTTATAACTCATGCCTGATAATCCGATGACCAGAAAAGACATCCATCTACTTTGCCACATTCAGTTCTGAGCTTTTTCTTGGTTATTAAAAGATTGTAAGAACAAAACCTTTTTCCAAAACACTTCCGTATCTCTTTGCCAACACGTTCGTGTATATTTCACACACACAGGCCCCTTGCATTACGAACAGTTCCCTTGATCTGTAAGGCATCAAGCAACAAATAGATACCTCTTGTTCTCACCTGGATCAATTAGGTGTCCGTTTAAAAAATTTTTCTTCTTGTTCCTTCCAGAGAAGAGATCACTTTACAATCGGATTAAGAGACGGATTTCTGGAGTTCAGGTAATTATTTTAGGACTCTTGACGGCCCAACAACTGGTCTCTTTCTAAACTTTGGTATTCTTTGCTTTCAGAGTAAAAACACCCATACATGTACGTGACCACCAAAAATGCCAAAAGTTAGGGGTGGCTAATGGGAGCTCGTCGCATACGAGACTCTGACGCATTTGAATGTCGCTAAAATGGCCTCTGAAATATGTAATGCATGCGTACTAAAAAACATAGACAATATACACGTATTAAAAGAGTATATTTCGCCACATAAATGTACTGATGGATCACATAACCCACTTAACATCCGGGGGCGATAAAATAATAGGGAGTTTAAGCAAAAGCATTTTTGAGTGACGCACGTCAACCGAGGCAAAAAAATTGTATTGCTTTGCGTCTTTGCGTCTTTTTTCTCTTATTGATGATTTTGCGGAGAATTTGGGCAAAAACACTGCTTAAAAGTAGTTAACTATGAAATTGAGTGAAGCACATCCTCGGTTAAATTTGTTACACATTAATCCTTGATCACTGATCTACATAAAAAAAAAATAAGGGAACGGGCCCCCGGGCCCCTCCCCGGATCCGCTACTGCAAATAACCAGGAACTAAATTTATCGGTCCCTACCCTGAGAATACTTTAAAATCACGTTAGCAAATCAGTTACGTCTTTCTTAGATTTGAACTCGGCTCTGGGCCCGCTGTACTACAATCTCTGTCTCCCGTCAACGACAGCCAATGGCACTCCATCAAGGTTTACAGGTAACAAACTTTTTCAACTACAATCTTGAAATAATAGTTCCTAGATCTCCGTATTCTAGATGCGTTACATTTGAGGAACAAGGAAGGGCCCGAGAATAAACCCACCGACTGTCAACCATGAAAAAAAAAATTTAATCAATTATTGATTTCGACTTCTATATAATATGAAGCAGCACTGACTGCGTGATGTCATCCCTCCGATATTTTAATTATTAGACTAGTGACGTTTGTCGTTTAATTTTGTAGGAGTTTCAGTGAGGGTTCCCTTAAAGTTGATAATCATGATCATGTAAATGGCACCTCGGCTGAGGGAAGCAAAGGGCTGAATATTAACCAAGGTCATAGCATATTTATAGGTAAGTGCATTGTATATCCTTATCTTATCAGTCATCCCTACGATCAGAATGGGCAGTCCGAAATATCTGGATTTCATATATTTGAACTGCGGGAAGAAGAAACAAATGCAGACAAGATCATCAATACACAACTTAGTTGTAAAAAGAAAGCCTGAATGCCCGTATTCGACCCCTGACCTCTGCGATACCGGTGAAGTGCTCTTACCTATTAAGCTAGCAAGCAGACTGGGTGTGGATGGTCCGTTAGTATTATCTAAAAGTCTACCTCCTTTATCAGTGTTCAGGATGTTTAATAATGTAGAAGATTTTTTTTTCATATGAACAGGAGATAATTCGAACTATAGCCTATATTATCTTAATGTTTTTTCCTCTTATTTCCAATAGGAGGGGGTGAAAATATCGCAAAAATGACACATGGGAAGTTTAATACTGGTTTTAGGGGTTGTATAAAGAATACATTTTTCAAGGACAGAGGCATGGACCTCCAGGGTGACGCTATTCGCGGCTGGAATGTCCTACCGTGCGACAGCGATGAGGCAGAGCCATGAAAAGGCATTCTGGAGAAACTGGTTGCCGTGCGAAAGGAGCATTAAGCTCCAGAGGCCACACAGCTCTTAACCAAACAATCGTTTATCGTACTTTCACATTGGAATACTTAATAAATAGCGCGTTTTTGTTGCGTGGTTACACTTTAAATTAAAGTTAAGCAACTGTTGACGGTAAGGAAGAGAAGAGAAATGTGGAACTGTACGAACAAGAGTATTAAAAAAGAGTTAGTTCTTCGCAAAAAAGTAGAGAATAACCTGGGCAGTTATTGTCCTTTTTTACCAAACGAAATCATCCAGATAACCAGTCTGGCTTTGTTGTTTTCCTCTGGGCTTCGACTGTTTAAAAAGCGTTTCTTGATATCAAATACTGTTGTCCTAAAATGCATCTTGTCGTACTGGACCTACGCTTAAACCTTTCATTTTTAGAGATAATCGAGTCTACGGACAAAAACAGAAACTGTTTCTGCTTCAGCACACCCTCATGTACATGTAGCATTTATTAACAAATTTCACTGATTTCATGTATAGAGACGTCTGGTGAGTTCATGATTTAAAGGTAGATAACGTCTGTCTCCAAACACCGAGGCCAAAAAAATATTACCTGCCATTTTAGAGCTCTGTTTTAGACTGTACAAAGATAAGATAGGGTTAACGTTGGCTTAGGGAGGGGTAGGTGGGCAGTCTCCCAGAAACATATAAAGATCCACATAGGGATTTTCGCTTTTGATATTTATATTGGCTCTTTGTTGTCAAAAATTTATTTTACCGCAATTGTTTATTATATTTACACCTTTTGTACATATATGTTTTTTCGTCTTTTTTTCTTGGCATATATGTGTAAGTTTGACAAAAAAAGAAACGTCGCCTTTCAAGAACTTGTTGAAGATAACTTTAGTTAATTAGCTAGTAAGTTAATATATCGAAAAAAAATAAAACTGGCAAAACTAGTTGTGTTGCATAGTGTTACTTTCCTACAACGTTATAATTATGGTACGTTTACTGACGAGACGTGTCACAGCAATGATATCACTTCCACTCGCTACTTTAGAAATGCGAAAGGAACTAGAACCAAAATATAAACCGCAATTGTTTCTGGGTGAGGTGACTGGCACAAAAAGCTGAGATTTTATGGGTGTTGTAATGCCTACAAAATTGTGATGGTTGATTTGAAAAAAAAAAAAAAAACTAAACCGTAGTCGTATAGTCCCTACACCTTTTGTACATATCTATATACCTTATTATAGGAAATTAAGGATCCATGAAATTAAGGTATTGGAAATTAACGCGACTCAAATTAACGCGAATTTAATGGCGAACGACTTTCGAATAAAGAAAATTAACGCGAAGGAGGAGGTAGAATTTCATAATAAAGGAAATTAACGCGATTAATTACACGAAATAAAAGGAGAAGATATTGACATCACTTCTGACAGCGACAACGATGAAGATGAACTCGAAATATTGAAAACCTTCGCCCTTAGCATTTGTGAAAGATGAAAAATAAAGGGTAAATGGAAAGAAAGAAAGCTTGTAGTTAAAGGGAACCTCCACTTCAACAAAAAGATTACTTTAAATCACAGGAAATAACTGTTACAGTCAAGTCAATCTAAAATATTTTTAAAGAAAGCGTTTGTATCCGAAAGAAATAACTTTTAGATTCGCCTATTTTTGTTTTCAAATTTTGCGGGCGTCGCCATCTTGAATAATTCTGACGTGTAATGGTTGCCCTATTGTTATTAAACAAAAGCTCTTTGTGTCAGAACAATAGAGCAACCGTAACACGTCACAATTAGTCAAGATGGCGGCGCCCGCGAAATTTGAAAGTGAAAATAAGCGATTTTAAAATTCACTTTTCCTGATATAAACACTTTTTTTAAGACAAATTTCGAACAAATTTGTTTATCAACATAATTTTATTCGATTTAAACTTATTCTGTAGTAAGAGTGGAGGTTCCCTTTAATGATTTTTAGGTGTCAAGAATACCTCGACAGGTTCCAAAATTGGGATTAAAATACTGGCAATTAAGAGCGCGGAAATTAACGCTGCACTTAATTAACGTCGCGGAAATTAACGCTCAACAAAATTAAAGCGACTTAAATTAACGATTCGCGTTAATTTCTTGGAGCGTTAATTTCCTATAATAAGGTATGCTTTTTCGTCCTTTTTTCTTGGCATATATGTGTAAGTTTGACAAAAAAAGAAACGTCGCCTTTCAAGAACTTGTTGAAGATATCTTTAGTTCATTAGCTAGTAAGTTAATATATCGAAAAAAAATAAAACTGGCAAAACTAGTTGTGTTGCAAAGTGTTACTTTCCTGCAACGTTATAATTATGGTAAGTTTACCAACGAGACGTGTCACAACAATGTTATCACTTCCACTCGCTACTTTAGAAATGCGAAAGGAACTAGAACCAAAATATAACCCGCAATTGTTTCTGGGTGAGGTGACTGGCACAAAAAGCTGAGATTTTATGGGTGTTGTAATGCCTACAAAAATGTGATGGTTGATTTGAAAAAAATTACTGAACCGTAGTCGTATAGTCCCTACACCTTCGTAACCGTTTCTTTAGTGTACCGGTAGCGAAATGCCAGCCATCTTAAGGGGTTAAAACAATCCCACGGAATACACGAAAATTGCTCATATTTACAGCTTTATTCGCTCAAATCACCAGGAGATAGTGTGCTGAATGTCTTTCTTTCTTTGAAATAAGCACTGCAAACTGAAATGAAAGGACACTCAAACCCCGCAAATAAGGACACTGATGAGGCGTTAGAAAGTGTCCGTATTAACGGGGTGTCCCAATTAAGTGGGTGTTCATAAAACAAAGTTTGAATGTACCTTGAAAAATCCCCATCAGTCTTGGAGCAGAGAAGAGAACCAACAACAAACTCAACTAACATTTCGCTCCTGAATACTAACGCATGCGCGTACTAACTGTTGACGTACACATAGACGGACTGGTGAGATTTAAAACATTTGGGGAGACTAAGGCAGTGTTCACACTTGGTGCATGGGTACAACGCCCGAGTGCGGTACTCGTTGGACACTAATGTGAACACACGCTTTTATCAAGTATCCACGTCCGAATTAATTCGTGTGGTCGGTGCCCGAGGACAAGGTCGAGACCTTATACGTTGGCACTAAAAAGGGATTGGTCAACTGCAGGGTGTACACCGTTTTTGTTTTTTCTGGGATAATCTACTGCTATCTACTCGCTCCTAAGCTTGCGTTTCAAAATGGCGCTTCACAGAGGGCAAAAAGGAGTAAATAATGTACACAGTTTACATTTTAGGTATACCCAAGGTGTGAACAAAACACCATTTTTGTCACTACCCAGGCACTAGTTCTCAGATACCAAGTGTAGACATTCCCTAAATTTCCATCAGCAGAAATTGATTGGCACGGTCAGACTGTGGGGCAAATTTGCTCTTGTTCAGTTCTAGGGTTACCTGGAAAATGAACTTTATTCAATTCTTTAGTATACCCTGTCAGCGCTGTTGTTCCTAACTTTTTCTCATAGGTTGAATGATTCTAGTTGGCGACAGGAACATTATCGTATAAAGAAAAGGCTTTTTTTTCTGGAGAAGGAGGGTGGCTATATTTGAAGAAGAATATCTTACCTTAAAAACTGAACTTTTGAAACCAATTATCTGAATATGAGTTGGAGACGGAAGATTTTCGTATGATAGCTCAAGAGATCTTTTCAATGACAGAGCTACTTAACCGTTAAAGCAGATTAAAAAACACAAATTACTAAGCTTTAACTTAAAATTTGGAAGTGATGACCTACTCAAAAAATTGGATTAATAAGGGTTTATATTAAAAAGAAAGGTAAATCGCAGACTGGTACAGTCCCACACTTTGAACATGAGCGCAAGATTACCTATGTAAATACGGGTTCCATCTAAAGTTAATAATTCTATCCATTGCAATCAGTAGGTCTTTCTCTGAGTTATTGAAGTAGGATGTTTCTAGATGCTAACATGTCAAATCAAGTGGAACAAAAACTAAAAGAGAACTTCCCTAATTCCATTAAAAGAGAAATTTTTATGGTAACTTCAATATTTAAACCAAAAAATCGATAAGTAAAAAGCATGACCGTATTTTAAGTTTGGTGACTATGACAAAAACACACGAAGAACACACAAAATGGCTTTGTCATCATGTTTGTCTCCAAAAATAATTATAATGCCTCCTTATTTGACGTTTTAAGCAGCCATCGGTTACTTTGAGAATTGCAGTAATGCCAACAAATTGAAAAGGGCCGGTATTTAGACATTTGGCCGTGATATAATTATATCTGTTAAGAAAAGGGGTACTTAGTAATTATTTCAGGAAAGAAAACCAAAACGGTAAGTATTTTAATATTTTGCTTCCAAAGCACTGGTATTTCGTTTAACTAATACGCATTAAGAGAGTTCAACTTTATTTAAATTTATTCTCTACGCTTAAGTAATTTCTTCTAAGCTTCCCTCTGAATAATGCTTGGAAAAGTCGTAAAATAAACTAACTAAAACGCAAATCCATTTGTTTAGAAATGCTGGGCCATTCTGTTTATCCTGACAGCTGAGCAAATGTGCGGGAGCGGGGAGGGGCACTCAACAAAGTATTACGGGTACGCTCCGCCCCATGGTCCAATCCCCTATATTTTTAATATAATTATACCTTTTTTACAGAAAAGGTACCCCTTGTTACCCCTTTTACACACCTAGGTTAGAACTTTTGCATCTCTGTTGTCTTTCAAATATAAATCAATCACCTAACAAAACATTTTTTTCTCTTGTGTTGTTTTGAATATTATAAGAGGAGAACCCAATAAAACTGTGGGGAAAAAAATGTTTTCTCCACTTTTAAGAGCCAGAAAATGTAGATGTTAGCCCTTTTGAGCCTTTTTACAGACCGGAATGACTGATTTTCCTACCCTTCCATATTACGTGAAGCCAGAAAGAGGTTCTTTTATCGGGCGAAGCCTCCCCGTAAAGGCCATTGTATGAAGT